TCGAGTGGACGAGCGAATACGGCCGGGGTGTGTCGGCCGGGGAGCCTCCGGCGGGCCTGCGGCGCGGGGCGCTGCGCGCGGCAAGCTTGCCGGGGTGTGGCCGCAGCGAGAGCCCCCGGCGGACGCCTAGTGGCGTGGCGCGGGCGCACCGGCGCTCCCGCGCCCGCGAGAGCAGCCGGAGTGTGTCGGCCGGGGAGCCTCCGGCGGGCCTGCGGCGCGGGGCGCTGCGCGCGGCAAGCTTGCCGGGATGTGTCGGCCGGGGAGCCTCCGGCGGACGCCTAGCGGCGTGGCGCTGCGCGCCGGCGCCGCCGCCATTCGAACGAGGCGACTGCATCTTCGACCGCATCTTCTGCGTATATTTCGCGCCCCTATAGCGTCGCGGAGGAGCAAAGGACGCCCGATTAGCGCTGCGCGCGGCCGGGCAAAAAGAAAAAATTAGGTTCGGGAAAAAATAGTCGGCACAACCACGTCGTTTCGCATGTCGTGCGCCGACGCCAGCGACTCCTGCGCGGCTTGGGCATCCGCCGGGGAGTGCTCTGCGAACCCATCCTTCATGCGCTCGAGCTGTGCCCTCTCGTGTGGCACATGCTGTGGCGACACGATTGCCGGGTGCTCGCTCCTCGCTGAGCAGGAGCTCTGCGTGCGGCACACGCAGTTTATGTGGAAGTACTGCGCTGGGAGCTGCGGGCGATGCCAAGCCGCGCCGCCTGCGAGCGAGGTTTGCGTCGATCAAGAGCTTGCGTGCGCCAGCTGGGCGGGTCGTGGCGACTGCGGCGGGGTTGAGGACTGGTGTGCTCTTAGCTGCGCGACCTGCGAACAGTCTGAGTCTGTTGTAACGACCGCCGACATTACGCTCGCTGCAGCACTGCCACGGCCGCCCATCATCTATGGCACCGCTTGGAAGGGCGCACACACCGGCGAGGCTGTAGTTGCAGCTGTCCGCGCTGGATTCCGAGGGATAGACACGGGTGGGCAGCCTCGTCACTACGATGAGGCGGCGGTCGGCGAGGCCATCGCGCGGCTTGTTGACGAGGGCATCGCGCGGGAAGATCTCTGGGTGCAGACCAAGTTCACACCGGAGGAGTGGCAGGATGCGGCGACGCTGCCCTTCGAGGCGGGCGCTGCTCCCGAGCAGCAGGTGGCGGCGTCGGTGACAGCGTCCCTACGAAAGCTGCGCATGCCGTACGTGGATGCTCTCATCCTCCACTCGCTCGACGGCCGGGAGCCTGCGACTCTGCTGCGCGAGTGGCGTGCTCTCGAGGCGGCCCACGACGCCGGCCATGCGCGCTGGCTCGGGCTGAGCAACATCCACTCGGTCGCCACGCTCGCCCGACTACACGCGGCGGCTCGAATCAAGCCCGCGGTGCTGCAGAACGCGTTTTGGGAGCGCAGCAGCTTCGACGCCGACGTGCGGAGCTGGTGTGCGGCGCAAGGCGTCGTGTACCAAGGCTACAGACTGATGCAAGCGGCGGGGCGACTCGAGAGCTGGCCGGGCTTCTCCGCCACGGCAGTGGCGAGCAACAGGACATGCGCACGGGGCGAGGATATCCTGCTGCGTGTCTCAGCATCCGCGGCTGGCTGAATAGGCGCTGAACGCGACATCGCTTTCGCTGTGGTTTGCGCTCGTGGGCGCGCTCGGCGTGCTTCCCCTCACGGGCACCAGCTCACACCTGAGCGAAGCGATAGCGGGAGTGTCGCTGCGAGTCGACGCTGGGACGGTGCAGCGGCTGCGGCCCACCGAGGACCTCGGTGGAGCACTTGGTGGTGGCAGTGTGCGTCGATAAGTTGAAAGCCGCAGCGTCGTGCCGACATACATTCGTGCCGTTGGCATCGGCGCCACCGCCTCCCACGCGTTCGTCGCCGCGTCGTACCGCTCCACCAGCTAAGGAAGCGGTCGTCGTCGCTCGAGTGCGGCCGCCGATGCCACCCGAGTGGTTGGACAAATCGACGTCCTCGAGCAATCTACCGTCCCCTGTCAAGCGCATCGCCGACCAGGGCGGGCATGAGTTTCGAAAAAGAAAATGCGCGAGATCGCCCGAGATCGCGCGGCGCGGCCCGAGGCGAGGTGGATGGGTTGGGAGCAAGGGGGCGGAAGTGGCCAGTGCGGTAGATCGGTCAGTCGGGGCGCAAGAGGTGGCCTGTGAGCCATCCGGCTTACATTTACCCTGCGTTCTTGCACATGGAGTGCAAGATACTCGTTTCTGTTGCCGTCCCAAACTGTCACTCCCCTTTCTCCCGGCCGGGGCGGGGCGCGCGCGGGGGCGGCGGGTGTGCGGCGAGTGTGCGGGATGTCTGTGGGCCCGAGAGCGATATGCCATGTCCGCCTTGCGTTTGTCATAACATCGAAGGCTAGATCTAAGTTCAAAAGAAAAACGAGTGGAATCAATGTCAGCCGAGCGGCTCGCCGGGCATGCGCTCGCTCGCGCCGACGAGCTCGAGCGTCAGCTGGCAGAGCACAGCTTGACGATGCAAAAGGCCGAGGCCGCTGCGGCTGCCGAGACCACTCGCGTCGTCGGACGGATTGACGCACACGAGCTTTCGACAAACGCCAAGCTCGACGCCGCAAACCGGCTCGTCAGCGCGTTGCAGGCGCAGGTGACGACGCTTCAGGCCCGCGTCGCGGAGCTTGAGCGGCGGCCAAAGCTGTCTGGCAGCGGCAGCTCGCGGCCGGCCACTTGCGACGAGATGGAGGCGAGGATTGAGGCGCTCGGCGAGTTCCGGCGCAAGGGCCACGGCAGCAGCCTCGCTCGCGCCGCCGGCTACTCGTGCGTGGAGGCCAAGGCGGTGGGATACTCGCTGCAGGAGGCCAAGGCGGCGGGGTGGGCCTTTGAGGAGCTGCGCATGGCGGGCTACATCGGCGCCAAGGGGATGACGTCTCGCGACTTTCTGGACCGGCACCAGGCGGGCTGCTCCAACTTTGCGGGGCTCGACTTTTCGGGCGAGGACTTCTCGAACATGGTGCTGCTGAAATGCAACCTGAGCGGCTGCGTGCTCGAGGGCGCGACGTTCGACGGAGCCCAGCTGACGAGCGTCGACCTCTCCAACGCGAGGCTCACCGGGCTCGCCTGCAGCAGCTGGCGTGGCGCTCGCTTCAGCGGCGAATGCAACTTCACGGGCACCAACATTCGGAAGCTCCTCTCGGCGGCGGAACTTAAGGCTGGCGGGCTCGTGAGCGGGCTGAAGACCACCGGCTACTCCTGCAGCGAGGCGAAGGCGGCGGGATACACGCCCAGCGAGTGCCACATCGGAGGCTTCTCGTTCGAGGAAGGCCGCGGCGCAGGCTACAGGCTACAACAATCATGGGAAAAAGCAAGAATCTGGGGTTAGAGAGATTGTTTGTAAAACATGGAACACTACTCTCGCAATAAGAGAGATTGTCATTAAAATGAACTCCGGGGGTGGTGCAGGTGGCACATTCGACGCGCGGGGCACAAGCGAGCACGCCACGGGGCAGGGGCCAGGGGGGGGATTTTACAGAAAACATGGAACAAAAACAAATAAAGAAAAAGAGGGTGTAAAATGAAAGAACTCCGGGGTCGCAGCTGAAGGGAGCTACACAGGTGCAGCGAGGCAAAGGCGGGAGTTGGGATACACGCCCTTCGACTGCTGCCAGGCTGGCTTCTCCTTCGCTGAAGCCAAAGCTGCGGGCTACCGCCGGGACGAATCGGTATTCCAAGTCGGGGATTCATACTGGTGACGTCGCGCAGATCTCGCCTCTGTACGTGGCCCAGTACCTCAGAACTAAAATAGGCAGGGGGGGCAGGGCCTGCACTTCTGAAAGACATTACATCTACGGAGCATATGCATGTAAAGTACTTTTGTTATCTACGTTGACTTGTACCAGGTAGACTAATGTCGAGACACGTAACCTCTCGTTCCTGCCTCACGCTAGCTTCACCGCCCACAGCACCACCACCTGCGCCTCCCGGTACACGCAAAACTCGTCGAAGAGCGTGTTCCGGTGCTGCGTGCTCGGGCCCGCGTGCTGGGCGCCCGCGAGGTTGTAGCGGCAGATGAACATGAACTTGTTGGCCGATTTGCAATACTGCTGCGACTTGCGCGGGTCGGGCGCGCCGTACAGCCCTCGCCCGAGCATGCCCTGCGCCGCAAAGCTCAGCAGCAAGCCGGTGGCCATGACGTTTGTCGCCGCCTCCTGCGAGCAGCCGTGGAAGAGAAACGTGTCGCCGCTCCGCGCGTGCGCCTGCAGCGGGCTGATGTCGAAGGAGCCCGCGCTCGCGAACCCGCGCAGCGTCGCGCCGTTGGTCACCTTCCACGCGCTCGCGATCCGCAGCCGCGGCTGCTGCACGTCCCTCCTCTGCCGCCGCTCAAAGAAGGAGCGCAGCGCCGCCTCGGTCGCTACCTCGCCCGCCAGCTCGTCCCAGAGCACGCTCTCCGGCGTCGTGTCGCGCCGCGCCCGCTCGTCGGCCCGAAGCCGCTCCAGCCGCTGCTGCTGCTCTTGGAGCCGCCCCTGCAGCGCGTCGACGTCGCGCTGCGCCCGCTGCCGCTGCGCGTTGAGCGCCGCCGCCTGCTGCGCCGCCGCCGCCGTCTCGCGGCTCACCTGCTCGCTCTTGCGCTCGAGCTGGCGCCGCGTCGCGTCGAGGCGCGCCTGCTCCGCCCGCGCTTCTGCCTCGAGCCGATCCACGGTCAGCGCCTGCGGGGGCGCGTCACGGACGCGTCGTGGGCGTGTCGCGGGCGTGTCGTGGGCGTGACGTGGACGTGTCGTGGACGTGCCGTGGGCATGGGCGTGGCGTGTCGTGTCCACCGCCCGGCCCCGACGCGCGCCTGTTCGCCCAGCTCGCGCTGCCGCTCGGCCGCCTCCCACTGCACTCGCCGCCGCGTCGCATCCGCCTCCTCCTCCGCCTTGCGCTGCTGCTCCTCCGCCGCCCGCTCCGCCGCGCTCCGAATCTCGACCGCGCCGCGCCGCGCCTCCTCGAGCGTGCCCGCCGCCGCCACGAGCCGCGCGGCCGCCGCCTCCCTGTCGGCCTCTGCCGCCGCGCGCTCTCGCTGCGCCGTGTCGCGCGCGCGCTGCAGCGCGAGCCGCTCGGCCTCGGTGCTGAGGAAGGGGCGGCTGAGCGCCTCGCTCGCGGAGATGCGGCGGCCGAACGCCTATGCCACCATGTCATCAAAGACCTCATCACACGCACCTCTCTCGCCGCAAGTCCTCCGCCACGGCCTGCGGAGGCAGTCTCGGGAACGAAGGTCGACTGTCTGTCCGTCTATCTGTCTGTCCGTCTATCTGTCTGTCCGTCTATCTGTCTGTCCGTCTATCTGTCTGTCCGTCTGGCGGCTCCCCATATCTCGGAGCCTAGCGGGATGCAAACCACTCCCCCCCCCCCCCATATCTCCCCCATATCTCGTCGGGCGTGAGCGCCTCGGCGGGCGAGGCTGCCGGCGGCAAGCCGAGGTCGAGCAGCTCCTCGAGCAGGGCGGGCAAGTGCTCGCCCCCCTTTGCAGCCGCCGCCTCGCGCGACCAGCCCGGCTGCAGCTGCTCCTGCGGCGGGGCGCCAAAGACGTAGTCGGCGACGTCGCAGCAGGCGAGCAGCGCGCACACGCCAAAGGCGTACATGTCGGTCGCGGCCGTCGGCCTGGCGCACGCCCCTCCAGCGTGCAGCTCTGGCGCCTTGTACCGAGCGGTGGCGACGCGGCCGCTGCTCTTGCTCGCGCGGCCGCTTGAGCTTGGCGGCGCCGCGTCGGACGCCGCCTCGCGCGCGCTCTCAAAGTCAGCGAGGTAGGCGCGCTCGTTCGTGTCGACGAGCACGTTCTCGAGCTTGACGTCTCCGTGCGCAAACCCGCGCGCGTGCAGGTGCCTCAGCGCCTCCGCGAGCTCGGTCAGCATCCGCTGCCGCTTCCACAGCACCGGCTCCTCCTCGTCCACCCACCGCCTCGCGTCGCCCCTCTCGTAGAGCGGGAGCTGGACGTACGCGACGGGCGCCCTGCCCTTCTGCACGTCCTGGAAGACGGCCTCGACCCTCACCAGGCGCGGGTGCTCCAGCCGCCGCAGCACGCTCACCTCGCGCACCAGCCACGCCCAGCCCCTCCCCGCGGCGTCGAGGTCGTACTCTTTGAGCACGCACGGCACGCTCTGGCCCGCGTCGTCCAGCCACTCGGCC